ACCCTTAATTGTTCCAAGAACTCTTCCCATGACATTTTCAGGGCTTTCCCTTGTGGCATAGTATTTGCCAACAACTTCCACCAACTTAATACTCCAGTCTTCAGTTGTCTGACTGCAAAGACAGTCTTCTGTTTGTTGCTACAGTCGCAAATTTCAAATACCATCTCCATTTCGGAGATCCAATCCATTATTTCAACAGGCTTTGGGCTCCCAGAAAGACTTGGCGGTTTGGCGTCCAAGAAATTCTTGTACATTCGCCCATTGTTGTTGTTTCTCCTTTTCGGATTGTTCCTTCGTTCTTCTTGAGTCCCAACTTGACTCATAATGAGACTATTGTTCCCTTCCTCCGATTGCTCGGGAATCAATTTAGGTTCCTCAATAGGTATGATAGGTTCGTCCTTATTATTATGCAACATTTGTCGCATCTCCTCCCTTTGTTCGGCTAACATAGCCCGAATCATGGCTTGTACTCCAGCCATGCTGATTTGTTCTGGTGCTGCTGCTACAACAGGTGCTTGCCCAATCACTGGTGGTTGATTCCTGTTTTCATCCGCGTTTCCAACGCCACTCCTTGCTCTCACCATTTTTGATCTACACACCGAATAAGGTGAAATTTAGATCTTCGTTCATGATAGATTTCAAATCATCCTTATCACTCCGAAACGATTACATGCTAGTTCTAATATCGTATACATACGCTTAGAATCCTAAACACATAAACCTTCAGATCCGGTTGGCAACAAACCGTAGATCCGAACAAATAATATCATATATGGCAACATATAACATTTAGCACATAAAAGCATTTTAGGCAACGTTCCTAAAATAAACTAGTGCTTGTGTCTAAAATTCAACAGACACAGATCTCAAATTCCACTTAGCATTCTAAGTTTAAGTTTAGAAATCCTACAAATTCCTAGTTCGCTTAAACTAATGCTCTGATACCAACTGTGACATCCCCAAAATCTCGACCAGAAAAGACCGATTTTCATTTATGCTTTTAAATAATTTCAGAGTAAATCCTTTTGATTTGAAGGAGTTGCAGAATTTGTTCCCAAAAACAAAACATGATAAAACAATGTTTACCAAAGCATTTCATAAAAGAAATGCATTTTCATTATATAATCAAAACTCGGGGTGTCAGGTTCCGATACAGACCATTAAGCATAAACAATAACATTACAAGTCATTCAACAAATATATACATATACAAACTTGTAAACAAAACAACTTGATGGTTCATCCATCTTACACCCTTGCACCACTTCCTGTAATACAAATAAAACTGAGTGGGTCAGGCTTGGGAGCCTGGTGAGCATATAGGGTTTTCAACCCACAATAAATAAATTATATTTAATTTCACCAACCAATCACTATCCCGATTACCCATTCCCGTTATCCTCACTTTACGTCCCTAAAACAACATCTATCTCAAGGGACCTAATCTAGGATTTTCATCGGGACGGACATTACTCCTAAGGGGTTTCCTCAACAATAGATATCCTAAAAGCAACCATGAGGGGGATAGAGTACACCGGTGAACACATCGTTCACAACACCTACAGGTTATGAACCTGCTAGCGTTCCACGAGACTGTCTAGAAGGAGTCTGTGGTCGTTATCCATACTCCGCTGAATAACTAGGTCAACAACAACAACAACATCGAGGCCTCTCATCTGTTTATTACACACCAACTATCTACCCATGTTCTACCCAACACATTAGTAGATAAAAATATACAATTTTATACATAGTTTAAAACCTGTATATCATTTTCATTCAATATATATTCCACATAACAGATGAGGCACACCCACATAACACGTATTTCATAGAAAACAAATCAGATCTATGAGATAGAAGAAAGTGAATATATATTCATACACATAACAACAAAATATATACACATAACACGTATTTCGTATAAAATACTTCATAATTATGCGTTAGAAGAAAGTAACTACACACTCACTTAATCAGAAGATGATCAGACAGCACTACGGCTTGTAGAAGTAGTAATCCTCAGCAGATCTGAAAGATCTCTACAAAAATCGAACTTCTCGCGGGCAGAGCTTCGGCTCGGAAACCGCACTTCTCGGGATCTTCGGGATCTCGGTACTTGCTTCGGGACTCGGGAATGATACCGGGGCTTCGGGGGTAAAAACGCAGAGCTTCAGCACGAAACAGTGGAGAAATGAGCAAGTATGCCAGGACCCCTCGCATCCTATTTATAGGAGGCTGGAGCCTCGGAGTACGCGGGACGTACAGGTCCGAAATCATCACTGCGTTCGTCATCTGAAGTCCTCGAGTGCGAGTGTCGTCATCTTCGGTGTACGCGGGGCGTACTTCGGATCAGATCGTTGACTCCTCTTCGGATAATGCCGGGGTTTACTTCAGAAATTCATATCTCCTTCATACGAACTTCGTTTTCGACGGTCTTTATATCCACGCGAGGGTGAGACTACGCTCTACAATTTTTGTTTAGACTCCGTCGGGTAATTTTGACTTTATTTTTATTATTTATTTTTAATAGGCCGGGACAGAAAATTTCGTTATAAATTCATAACTTCTTCGCTTGACGTCCGTTCTTGCCTAACTTTTTATCACTTTGATACTAACAACGAGATCTTAGATTCTCGTTTAGATCACTAAGGCTAAATATCGCTCTAACGTAAATTCCACTTTTTACGTCATTCAGCGTTGCCGGTTCTGTCGCGAAACTTCGACAGGTCATAACTTCCTCGTTATAACTCGGATTTTGGCATTCTTTATATCTTCGGAAACCTTGTTTCAACTACTACAACATTATCTAAAGATATCAAGTTTATTTTACACTTAGATTTTGACGCTTATTTTTATTCTTAATTAGTCAAACCACATAATTAAGCAATTAAGCACAAAACACATAATACTCAAATAATACACTTATATTATTTCAAAACGGGCTACAAAGGCTAACCTATACTATTACATTGCTAAAAATGGCAAGCCCAGAAACACAGGTGTTACAGAAATATGCCCTAAAACCCTTGCATGGTGTCCTTGCTCAACCAAAGGCCAGATCTAGCCCACCTTGGGACAATTTTGCTCTAGAGATTCATAAAGTTGCAAACTTTATGAATCTGATATATAAAACCAACAAAAAGGGTAGGAGATAAAGAGTAAACTCAAGATCTAGCCATATTCTATGATAAAAAAAAAATCAAGTCTTGAAGATTTACAGCAGTCCAAAAGATAATTAAGCTCAAGGATGAGTGCTTTCTTTGTTGGATCTCCTTACTATCTCCTTCTTCTTAACATTCAAAGGTCACTCTAGCTCATAAAATGGAAGAGAATGGGGATTAGGGTTAGCACAGACATTCTTAGGGTTTGGAGGTTGATGGGAGGTCAGCCTTAAGGCTCTTAAGGAATTATATAGGGTGCAAACCCTAAAATAGTGTTTTATCATTACAGTGCCTACTCGTCGAGTCGGCCTTCCAACTCGTCGAGTAGGGTGTAGATTCTGCGTCTTTGAAATGCCTTATGCTTGACGAGTTGGACGCCCAACTAGCCGATTCCACACACCAAAACCCTAAATCTTAAATAAATTAAGTAATACCTGGAACAGGTGTTACAATATTGATGTAAAAAAAATTGAAATATCAGTTCTGATTCATAGTGTGAATAATAGTAAGTCATATTAATATTGTGAATTCTGAAATCTAAATTATATATAGTTCAGATTTACCATGTGAAAAAAAATCATTTTGTTGATTTTACAAAACTAATTTATGAGTAATCAAAATGTTAAAATATTATAAAAATTAAATGGAAATATATTTCAATTAATATATAAATTTCACTAAATTAATTGGTAAATGATCCAAGAGTTGATATAGTAAGTTAGATTTACATTGCAAATGTTAAAATTGAAATATTTACAGTTCAGATTCAGAGTGTGAATTCTGAACTAATCGAAATTTTTTTGATCAATGCTGCTATTTATTAATAGAGGATAAATATTGAGATTTTTTTGTTATTAGTTTTTTTGGTGGATAAAACAAACCTAAATATTGGAAAAAAAACGAAGGTGGTTTTTTTTTTCAAAATAAAAGTTCTTTTTTTATATATCAACATCGATTTCTATGGGAAGATGATGGAAAATCGGGAATGACTATATATTCGGTTTTTTTAGGATAAAAAACATGGGCTAAAAAAAGTGAAACAAAAAAAAAGATGTAAGTTCTTTGGTATAATCGTATATATGTGTGTCTAATATACAAATGTACAACCATTCTTTAAGCCGTTGATCATTATGATTTTCGACAATCACAATTGATTCATTGGTTCCTTATAAATAATGGTTCTCTATTGAACCTCACCCTACATGTGAATAATGGTTTTCTATTAAACATCACCTTATCAGTTGAAAAAAAACTCTCCAAAAATAAGTTTTCAATTTGTTTATTTTCTAACTTTAAAAATATTATTTTTTATTGAATATAGAGGAATTTATTTCTATCCAAATTCTAAAAAGAAAATAATAGATTTTCTGGTTAGAGTGAGTTTGTAAAAGAATTTAAAAAAAAAAATAGATTTTTAAGGTTACAAAAATTTTGTTTAAATGATATAAATTTTTATAAAAATTAAGATGTGTGTTAGAATAAACCAAGAGTTGAATCAACAATTTCAGAACAGGCAATTGAATAAAACAAAGAAGCAATGATCAAGTATGGGCTTAATGATTGAAAAGCAATGTCTCAGAAGAACTCGATAAAGAATTACTATTGTAGAGGCATTGTAGGGTTACAAGTTATCGACTAGTTCGTTACCAAAACACGGAGCATGCATGCACTATAAATACTCAAACCCTAGCATAAAATAGAACCGGGTGGATAGGACCTGCTCGTTACAAAGAAGAACTATTACAATACAAAACGATATTGACACAACACTTAGATACCCAACAATCTCCCCTTTGTGTCAATAAGGGAAGTGACTCTTCACGGTTGTAGGCGCTTCTAAACTTCAAAAAATTTAGGCATTATGTTTAGAAAGGTCTTGAGAACCTCAATGTACCAGTTTAGGCATTGACCCATAAACTCCATGATGTATTGCAGGCAGGGAATGGAGTAAAGATGCTTTTCCGAAAGGTAGAAGCAGACTCTGTGATAATCAACATCAAACCTTTCTTTGATTTGAAAAGTCATACACCAGCCATCTTTCCGAATCCTCCCCAACTTCATCCTCCGAAAGTCTTTTGGAGCTTCCGTAGGCAGCACAGATGGCTTCTTTCGGAGTACCACCGCTATATCTATATCCCACTTTCCTATCTCCTAGATATACGATATCAGCATCCTCTTGAGATGTGCCACTAATGGTTCATATTTATGTCCATATTTGAGTAAGAGATGAACCAAAGATATCCAGTCGTAGGGATTCAGGCATAATAGGTCTACGAGTGTGAACTCAAACAGAGAACTCCCAGCTCCCCGAGCGACCTTGAAACGAGCGTTCGCAAAGCTTTTAGTTTTAATCGACCCTGAAACCTTCATAACACTTATCTTCTTTGAGCTCCAGGTTTCGTATTGAGGCTTCATGTGCATCAGATGGAATGAAAAGAGCATTTGATCAGCATGGTTGTCAGAACGAGGCAAATTCGCAACATTTTAAAAGCAACAAAACTGGAAGGATTTTGGAGTAATTGGCAGAGCGAGTTGTGAATAAGAAGAGTTCTCCACATCAAAAGATGAATAATACTTGCTTGGATTGTCAATCACTTCACTCATTATACGCTCCAAAGTCCATAGAGGAAAAATAAGCTTCTACGATTCCAAAGTGACTTGAGCTTCTAGAGCAGCCTTTTCTCGTTCTTTAGCCTCTCTAGCGATACAAAAATTGTTGTCAAGTTCAACATCATGAATCTTGCGCTTAATCTTTAGAGATTTTTCTTCTTCTTCCTCATCATCATCATTATCTACAACTTGTTTTACCCTTCAAACTCGAAGCTACATTACCCTTTAGTTTGTTTATCTTGGGCTTTTTTTAGTTTCATCATTACCACCAGATGACTTTTCAACACCAAAAGATTTGCCTTGTTCTCCCCCTTGTTTTGGAAGTATGTCAGACTTTAAAACACCTTCAAGCATGTTGAGCATCGAAAACACATGCCTGATTTTAGCAGCTAGATGCTTCCTAACAGTGATTGTGATTAGATAATCACGAGTCTCAATGATATTGGAGAGTATGGAATTCATGTCGCCAATGTAACTCTTCATCACAAATTTTTTCGACAAGATCTCGTCAATTCGATTATTAACATGAGTGATCTTGAAAGATAAAACTTTCACTTTCTCTGTTTTGATGGTGTGCTTATCCATTATTTTGTTCTCAAGACACAAATCTTCATGAAGTTTGTCTATTTTGGAAGAGATGGAGGTTTGATGTTCCATATGAGCAGCTTGAATATCGATACGAACCTTCTCGAGAGCAACTTTATTGGTTTGGAGTATGTCGCTAAGGCTGGGTAATCACTTAGTTTGAGTTGGATGTGTTGGTCTCAAAGGATGTTCGAAAATCACCCATGATGGTTTTAACATCAGAAATTAGTTTACTAACATTTTCGGTCACCTCCTTGCAAGTTGTGGTGAAATCTTCAATTGCTTTGTTTGTTTTGTCTACATTCATTGTATGCTCCTTGGTGACGGTCTCAAGAAAAGCTTTGATCTTCGCTTGAGAATAATCATTGTTGGTTGAGGCTTCGGAGGACTCAACGAGTGAATCCAGCTTCTCGTTGATTTCTTTGAGTTACCCTTTGGTAAATGAAGCCTCATCCTCACTTTCAGCTTGAACATAGAAAGGAATGTAGTGGATGTGAGTGAATTCATCCGGATCATCACCAAAGATAGTGTCTGGATCATCTTGGTGGAGAGGTGATATGGGATGTGAATCGTAACAAAAAAGTAAAACCTGAAGCACCTGCCCCCATATCAGATAGATTAGCAGAAACTGGAGGTGTATGCATAATATTTGTTGTGGTTGTTGTCGATTATGTAAACAAATGAGTAGATTGTTCAAAAGTAGCTTGAGATTGCGAACACCCATAGATATAAGTGGGAAAGGAGCTATAGTGATTGGAGTGGAGATAGTAGAGGTGGGTGAAGGAAGAGTGAAATCCTGGAAAAAATCATCTGTGATTGGAATAGAATTAGGGATTAAGAATGTTACCTCAAGATTGGTAGTGATAGGCTCCGAAACAATCGGGTGCGAAGTCTCAGCGGTTTCATCAGTGTCATGTTGAACTGGCTCTGGAATATCCGAGATTGTATTCGACTCCGAATCTTCGTGATCACTTGGCATTAGAGCTCATGGCTTGTGAGCAGCTGGCCTCACCTTCTTCTTTGGAGTCTGGGCAGGTTCAGAGGTCCTTCCTTAGTGCTTTTCTTTCATCCATCCTTTGGTTTATCAGACTCTTCGAGAACCTGCCTTACTACATCGGTCAAGGGTCGAGGACCAAAGGCTGGTAAACTGCGATAGGCTCGGATAAATTCACTCGCAGTTGGAACATTATGAAGCATAGACTTAGGAATACATATGATAAAGGTAAAATGAAAACTATCAGACAAGATGAAGTTGGAAGTGTGAAACACTTGAACGTTAGCCATAATAGAACCCTCAATCATCGTAATGTTTTAGCAATCTATAGCCTTTTAAACCATAATCGTCCAAAAATGCGCACTAGAGATCTCATTGTGCCTTGTGGTAGATAACGTGCTCTGAACAAGCTGAGCCCATTGTACCGATCCATAATCGAGATTGCCACCTGATTAAACGCCATAAATGAGTGTAAAAAACAACTTACTTGCAGAATCTTATCTTGTTACCCTCTAAGAAAAGCTTTTGAAGATTAGGGTAAACATCACATTCCAAATAGGCAGAAGGTTTGGTTTCTTTAATTTTGAGACAACAACCAAACACTCATTGTAACCCGTATGGTAATACATCTCCAAAATAGCAGAGTTGGAGATGGATTCTAGATCAACAAGGTCACGACCTTGAGGAAGACCCAGCAGGCTAATGAACCTTAACTTAGTGATGTGGGTTTTCTTGGTCCTGATTTCAAATGTAATGCTCTGTTCCCCATATTGGTAGTTTGCAGTTGCGTAGGCCTTGGACAAATGAGCCAAGGGAACGATCTCAGTCTTGGTTAGAGCAATAGCCAACGGAGAACAGTGTAGACATTCGATTAGAGGTTGAAGAAAGGCATCTTACTTGGTAGGTTCAATGTCCAGAATGAGATTTTGGTAAGCCTTGATGTTAAGCGATGTTGATTGATACATTTTCTATGATTTTGAAAGGGTTTCAGAAGAAGCTACCATTGCTGCTTGGTGAAGATGAAGATGAGCAGTAGAGAGAGAAATTGTAGGGTGAATTTCAAATTCTTTTGAGAGTATTAAGAATAATGAAGCATCGAAATGCTTTTATATTGTATTCCAGGAGAGAAAAACCGGCGTTTGGAACTTCAATTGTCTCAAAAAGCATGACAGGTTGGCGTGTGTCAGGCATGAGTCGAGCGGCATAACTGATAACATAATGTCAGGAACAATTTGAATTTTTCATGCGCCATGATCACAATCTTATCCCTTAAGTTTCACTGTATCGTATGTACCCTTTTGCAATGAATCACCATTTCTTGTACTTCAAATGTTAAAGAACCATTAGAACCGCAAACCATACTTTTTGAAATCACAACGATCTTCGTGCGAGAGTGTGCCAAAGATAAAGAAATAAAGCAAGTTATCAAAAGGAATATATTGATGTCAATGAAGACACGAAGCAGTAGGATCACAGACAACTATGTCTTCCTTCAGAGTCAAGAGAGACTTGGAAGTGTCTGTGTAGAGTCCCGTTGAATTACGATCATCTGTTTAATGAGAAATAGTGAATGGCATCTTTTCATTAAGGCTTAAGGGTGGCTTCATCTTCAAACGAACTCCGAAACTTGACATAAGTATGAAAGTTTGGATGAAGTACTTGTTTGACCACTATAGTCATAAGAACAAGTACGCTTCGGAGTAATTAGAGTGGCTGGATAATATGGAAATCTTTCAAAAAAAGGTAGATCTTTTTGGAAAAATGTCTTAGGTCTAGAACATTTCATTAAGATCTTGCAAAAATGTAAAAGAGATTCCAAGGTACTATCCGCGAAGGTGGTTTTTTGTCAATTCGAGGGTGATTAATCTAGAATATGCTACTTCTTCACCGTCAATTCTTAATTTGGTGTCGTATTTTGGGTTTCACTCAATTCGTGGTGATAACAAATTCAAGATCATTAACACATAATTAATGTAACCATATTCCTCAGTGGTAATATTTGAGAGTCTCAAGGGTTACGTTTATGGAAACAAAAGTGATGGAGAAAAGTGGGAGGTGGTTCCGATGAAAAATGTACCTCTGCTATGTGAAAGTATAACCACGTAGTCAACTCTTAACTCAATAGTATAAGAGTATGGTAGCTCAACGATTTATGTGAATTTTCATCCTTATTGGGAAGAAATGATTGGTATCATCAATTCATTAAGGCTTCAAACATAGAGTCTCATAGGTTTCGAACAACATGCGACAACATGCTTCTAGGGACACTTAACTAGAGCATAGTTTCAGAATATAATACCTGTCCCATCATTCGCAATTGAGATTCGTATGATATTGCCTTCAATCCTGCTCAATTATCTAATATTTATGGTTTCTTGAATATTTTGAAAAAGAAATAAAGCAGCAACAAATAAAATATTTTTTAATTTTAATTTTTTGAAAAAGAAATAAAAAACATAAACAAATAAAATATATTTGAATTTCATTTTCTGAAACAGAAACAAAATAGAAAAACGAAATAGATGGAAAGAAACAAAGTATGCAAGGGATATATTAAGTTTCGAACCTCCGAATGAACAATTGACGGTTCGTCACTCCGAACGTTCGTGACGATTCACAGAATGAAAAACAGACTGCGATCCATTGCGAGTGATCGCACGAATTTGCATATCAACTAAGGCTTTGTGAGAGAGAAAATAGTTTCGGGACAGATTCAGCCTCAATCATTCCTAAGCCTTGAAGAATGCGAGTAAAGGTTTGTTCTGGTAAGACTTCAGTAAAGATGTCGGCCAGTTGATCAACGGATCTAACAAAATGAATCATGACATTTCCATTTTCCACATGATATTTATTAAAGTGATACCTCAGTGCAATGTGTTTGGTCTTGGAGTGCTACACTAGGTTGTCTCAGATGAGAATAGCGCTCTGAGAACCACAATATAAGGGGATTCGCTTCATATTAATACCATAGTCACGAAGCTGACTTTGAATCCAGATTACTTGGGAAGTGCAAGAGGCAGCTGCTATATATTCAACTTTGGTGGTTGAAAGGGAAACACAAGTCTGTTTCTTCGATTTCCAACTGACGAATTTTCCATCAAGAAATTGACATCCTCTGGTTGTACTTTAGCGATCAAGACCACAACCTCCGATATTACCATCAGAGAATGCTTGCACAAAGAACCTTGAACTAGATGGGTACTAGATTCCAAGTGAAGAGGTTCGTTTTATATACCTGAGGATGTTCTTCACAACGGTGATCTGGGGTTCATGAGGATTCGTTTGGAACCTATCACAATAGCAAACAACAAACATGATGTGTGGACAGCTAGCAGTTAGATACATCAATGACCTGATCATTTGACGATAAAGAGTCATATACGCATCTGGTTTGCCCAAAGATTGTGTTAGCTTTGTTCTGAATACCATTGGAACCTTCACCTTCGAATATCCCACCATTCCAAACTTAGTATGTAAAGTCTTTGTAAAAGCCTCTTGATTGATCAAAATTCCTTCCTGACTCTATCTTATATTCAAACCAATGAAAAAGTTAATCGGACCCATGGAGTTCATCTCAAACATAGTTTCCATCAGCTTTCGGAAATCATCAGTTAAGTTGGGGTTAGCATATCTGAAGATGATATCATCAACGTAAATTTGGACGATCATCAAGTGGTCACCATATTTTTTGTGAAAGAAGCTGGGCCGACTGATCCTTGTTTAAATTTAGCATGTTTTAAAAGACGAGTAAGAGTTTCGTACCAGGATCTTGGGGCATGTTTCATACCATAAACCGCTTTGTCCAGAATATAATAGTGGTAGGTGTTGGGATTAAAACCCTAATTGAGATTTGATGAACAAGATGAGGAAAATAAGAACAAACACAAATATGAAGATTATGTCGAATGATCACTCGATTTATTGAATTGTGAGGAACAAATTACACTTAAGAAATAAGAATCTAACTCTACAAGAAACCTCACAATGTAACGGCTACATTTTGCCTCACTCTTAACCCTAATAATGAATAATACATGACTATTTATAGGGAAAAGACAAGTCTTGGGCTTTTAACCTAGAATTCATCAAAGGGGCCCATTGCCATCATCCATGGAGTGCTTTGAAACCCTACAATCTCTCCCTCAAAGTATGGAATGGATGACAATGCTTTAACTTCCAAAACAATCATCTAGCAAATAAAAAGATCTGCAACGAGGAATATATGAAGCAATCCACGAATCTTGATTCTTCAATAGTCTTCAAACACGAGCTCTAGGATATATAAATCAAGCACTGAAGTAATGTCTTTAAACTTCATTTTCGAATGTAATCCCAAAGAATCTTCATGAAAACCAAACCCGCCATAAAAACCCATTTCAGAACAAAGAAACCGAATCACTTCTTGTCTTTGAAGAGCTCTCCCTCCAAGTCACAATGATTTTCAAATAAGCTAATGATATAAGCCATAAAAAATATCATGTAACAACCCAAACTTTATGATTTGTAATGCCACTTGATCGAGAAAATACAAGAAGTATAACAAGTCCTTAGCAAAGCTCGATAAAGAACCTCCGCTGTAAAGGATACTTCTCTGTAAAAGCTTTAGCAGAGCTCGATGAAGAACTTCCGCTGTAAAAGCTACCTTCATAATTCTACCACAAGCTTTATCAAAAATCTTCAAATTTGAAAAGTTAACAATCCAATTTCAAATGACCATACCAAATTCTCCCCCGATTTATAATAAAAAACATGATTATAAAGCCTTCAAATGGTCATGAGAATGATCTTGAGTGGATAAAAAATTTACTAAGCTCCTTCGCGACAAAATGATATACACAATGAAGTATAACACCCGAAAAAGTCATGAAAAATTTGTCGTTATCACGAAAAATGACTTTCCGAACCGCCAAGACTTGATGGAATCACTATTTTGCTGTTCACGAAAAAATATGTGCGTTAAAAAATCCAAAACTGTTCACCGGCCC